CTGGAGAAGCTCAATATCAGCTGTGAAAACTAGGCCGGGGGCTGATTGTGGAACAGACCACCAACTAACTACTCATGGCAGGGGTAGAGGGGCAATATAAGAGGATGAGGAGGGTTCAGGCTGAGGGTTGCAAGAGATAAATGACCTGTTTTGAATGGGCCATGTTCACACAGCTGAAGTCCAGGCTTATCACTTCCCTAAGATCCTCAGGCAATAGAAAGGAGTCTGGAGACCAAGGCCAGACTGCACAGGTTCCATCTGCCTCCTCTGACCTGTCTTTACCACTTTTAGCTTCCTTGGCACTAAAACGCAAGGCTGCAGTATCAGGGATCCAGCCCCGATATGTCTGGAGAATTCTGCCAAAGGGAGGCACCAGGTTGAAATGAAGATGCCAAGAGGCTAATTGCTGATGACAAATAGCAAGTTTGATATTCTGGCAAGGACACACACACACACACACACACACACACACACACACACAAACACACACGTCTTAGGAACATGCCTGCAGGGGTAATTGCATTATCTCTTATCTGTCCAAGTTGTTGACTGGTAGATCAAACATTCCCAGACAAAACAAAACAAAGACATCTTCTGGGATATCCTTTGATAACTATTGGAAAACAAGAAGGTATCACATTCCTAGAAATCTGAGGCCTTTGGTCACTTCTTATTCATTAGCATACTGCTTCCTGGAGTTGTTGACTGTAGAACAGATGGTCAAGCCAAGATAGGTGGTCCTGCTTTGCAGGTTAGCCAGCTCCTGACACTGCAGCACGGCCTCTCTCCTTGGACTTCTGCTGGACACTGGAGGTACCAGAAAGAGGACCATGGTTGGACAGAAGCCTTCAGAGATGCCTCCCACAACAGCTGTGAAGTTCCTAGGTGCAGGCACAGCAGCCTGTTTTGCTGACCTCCTCACCTTCCCACTGGACACAGCCAAGGTTCGCCTGCAGGTAGGTGCCCCTTGACCAAAGGTGGTTGTTAACACTGGAAGGGCTGAGTTTTTCCCCAGCACCTACCCCTCTGCCACTGTGCTCTTCCAAAGAATTCAGACCAGGTCAGCAGATTAACCAGTCCACTGTTCAGGGTCCTTCCTTGACTCCACCCCATCTCACCCCCATTGTATATGGTGGGGGGGAAAGGCAGGGGAGAATGTAAATAGAAATTCCTTGACATAACATTAAGGCATAAAAGTATACTTTGTAAACCATCAAGTGTGAGGTAAAAATGAAAAATTAATGAATTGTATAACTTTGGGCATGACATATGTATCTTCTTGTTATATACCATTAGAGTGGGAACATACCCATAGGCAACCCTCCAGTGGGTTTCAGAGGCAGTTTTTAATCACATTGGAGGAGATTTCCCATCTTTCTCCCACTGAGCAATCAGTGGATTTGAACTGCATGCCTTGGCAGTGCAACTCCTTACCACTAAGCTACCAGAGCTCCAGATATACACACACACAC